CCACCCATTACACAACGAATTTTCAAAAGCTGTATCTACATTATCCCCACGCTCAAGATTTAAACTCTTATTTGAACATACCTCTTCTTATCGTAATTCTGTTTTGCCATATCTAGCACATCTACTTATTGACAAGGAGAATCGCGCATTTTCTTGCATTATTGACAGTCACACTCTACTGCTTTCAGTTTCATTATGTATGATTTTGTAAATTTAAATCCACACACAGTGTAAATGCTGACAATTCACCCATCTGGGTGCATAAAGCTACTACTAACATGACTTGATTCAGCCAATCTTGTCGCTCGTGCATGGGGTCACCCGAGTGGAGGAACACCGGTGACCTGGTTGGTTGTATGGAAGCTGTATCGCATTGCGTACGTGTTGCCGTCCGCTACATAATCATNAATGAAATCAAAATGGTTGAATCAATTTGCATAGAGCATACTTGATCATAAAACTCAATGTTTTTTTCTGTAAGTTCAAGTAAACTCAACGATGTTGTTGTCTCCTGTCTGCTGTTCTGGTGCGGATGGTATGCGTTAGAAAGTTCGGGGTACTAGGTTAAGGTAGAGACGAAAATAGATGAACAAGTCCTCATTACTCTTCGGTAGCCATCGCACCTCGTTCGACCGTACAATTTTACTACTGGTGTTGTGAGATACTACTCACTTGTGATTAATAGGTAACATAGTTGTTGATTATTTTCAACCACCAAAAAGTAACAAGATCAGTGGGGCAATTTGCTGGGTCTCAAAGAAGAACTATCAATTTCTACCTTTATTACTCGTCGTGTGAACAGGAATTGCGACGATATCTTTCTGATTAGATTTTCGTCATATATGCCAAATTGGTGATGTCTAATCTAAAATCCTTGATCAGCACCTCCTTCTGGAATCATAAAACTACTAACACAGATTCAACGTGCATAAACCAAGTATAATGTGATCCAAACGACTAAGATGCGCCGTACAACTGTACCAATAGTTCAGTCAACTCGAGAATCACTACCGAGTATTAAGCGCTTATTATCCTTGTTGCGTATCGAACACGGGACCTAAGAACCTAGGTGTACTATGCGGCTGACAACTGAGCTGATGGTCAAATCGGTCCACTTTGTCCATATAAACTATGTATTTTAGATAATCTTTGTGATCTTATGGTTGATAACGATGCCCGTCCATTGTAGCACTAACCGTCAGTAGTAGCCATTCGATGTAAACAATTTCTAACCAGAATATCGTTTGAAAGCTTTTATTTGATCGTCGAATACTTACTTAGTTCGCAGATGTTTTCTGCACCTGGCAGAATAACTTGTGTTACCGGCTCGGAACATTCGGTGTTCATGGGAAACGATTTGCGAAAATGTCCTTTTACAGTTCGTTTTCATGTACCCTTATTTTTTTGTCCGATAGATATTTTTAGTACTAAAAACGAACTTCTTCAAAAAGGTCGCAAGTAAGCTATTGGAGGCAAAGGAAGACCATTGAACGGTTCTGACCAAATGCTAAGTTGTCCTTAGTTTCAACTCTATTCGTGGGTAGAGATACCAGTAGACGATTCGACCCTTGAGTATCGGGACACATCTCTAGATGGCTTGCAGTGTCATGCATAACCTAAATGCGTGCTAGAGGCAGGATAAGAGGCAGACTACATTGTGTCATCTGTCGAATAAAAACCAGAGACTAATCAAAACAACAAGGATCGTAGTCAGTAAGCGACCGGACCTGATGGTTCATACACAAACAAAGTTATAACGAACGCAGTACTTGCTTGATGAAGACCCTGTACACACATGCACACACACGCACACACATCTCCCGCTATCATCAAGCATACACATGCGGATAAACATGTGGGAATGATTCCGGTGATTGTGCAACTTAGAACTGTGGTTACATAAACGGAGAAAGCAAGATAGGACAGCAGAAACCGGGAATTTGGAGTGACTGCGTGAAAGAACATAACAAACCCTCTGGAATCCGTTCTTATGTGTACCTGTACTGATTTTTGACTATTGTCTCGCATTGGAATGCACGTACTGGTTCTGCATCAATTGTGTTCTCATTCGGGCATGTGGCCGGAGTTTAACGTCGCGTGCTACTTCTATCTGAGGCCTAACCCGATCGGTCATTCCTTCTAGGCGATTGCCAGTCCTTGGCTTCGCGTCAAGAACCCGTACCTAATGTAATCATTTTTTTATTCAGAAAAAGAAGAAGCTAGGAAATGATTGACAAATCACAATATCTGTTCACAATGTTCTCACCGCACAAGATTTTATCAATCAATCAAAGGATCGTCTTCCGGTAACTTTCTCTCGTCCAGATACGAACTCCACAGGTGAGGAAATAGAACACAGCTGGAAGCGTGTAGTCATTCATTTATAGTGCAAAAACATGGTTAAAAAAGCTAGGACAGGGGAATACGTACATCAACCGATTCGGTGACTGGATTACTGTCAACCATCCTGAATTTTTGGCGGTACCGGCTAATCACCTGAGTNGGGGGGGGGGGAAGTTGTAGTCAGTTTCAGAAGTTTACATAAATTGGGATGAAAGCAAGTGAAAAAATGTAATCAACAATTACATCCTTATTTACGAGGTAAACGGTGATTACCAGTGTCGAACGTTTACCGGGTCTTGATACATCTTGTGGTAACCAGGTGAGATAGCTGAATCAATATCGGTCGAATGTTCATTTTCACTAAGCTTTCCACAATGCAACTTTAGGTTGTTCTATTCCTTCCACCCACAAAGATGACGAGAATGATGTCCTTTGATCCACCTTATTAACCGCATTCTTGTTTGCCGTGTTACGTCATGGTCGTGTGAACAAACGATTTTCTCTTCCCTTGACCAGGGAGTTTGATAAATTGGATCATTTGTCGTTGTCCGCACAGTTCGGGCTTCATGAGTCTAGTGCTAATCGCCTCTGTTTAGTTCTTAACGTCCGAACCTGTATTGCTATCCAGGGGTGTGATCAGACTCCATAAATGATTGTAAATGCCAAACGCGCACCAACCAAGTGTCCCGTCTCAACCAGATGAGCGACAATCGAGCTTGACAAATTTTCACTCCCAACATGTGTCAACCAGTGTGGATTGTGTTCTTTCAGTTGCCGTGATTTCTCTCGATCTCATTAGCACAAAGAATTGTCACCCATCTTTTGTTTGATCAAACTAAAATTGTTTTATATAACCTGTGTTTGCAAAGACTTGGAAAGGAATTCGTCTACATTTTGTCTTCGGTAAGTTTTTTGAATAATCTAATTTCTTTGATTGTTTAGCCAGTTAATTACTGGTTTATTGAAAATATTTGCGGTCATCCGGAACATCCAAACAGTGCAGCAATACGGGTGCATCGTTTAAATCTTCTCCCCATCAGTTTGCAGTACATTAACGACGGTCGGCAGCGGAACTATTTTGGAACTATTTTTATAACATCTATCTATGTAAAGAGAGTTGGTGAACATCTCTGGATCTCAAAACGTTCCCCCTTCATTTTGAAATGACTCGCTAAACCGGGCATGATGAAAGTCAGTGCTTCGGAACTGAAGGACCATAGATCCTGGAGTAGAACTGAAATATTTGCGGTTGAGGTCAAAAGATTACGAGTCAAGGCTCACGGGTTGTGTCAAGGCTAAAGATTTGCTGGTTTCAGTTGAAGCTTGATGCAAAAACGTGTAGTTTTCGCGTTCTTTGTAGGTGTGGGCATCTCAGTCTAGTTTGTTTCGATAAATTTCTCAACATATTCGTTGTTAATTAGCCTTTCGTTTAAGCACAACCACTGTACCTGTAGCGTATTGGTCATGCAATTTTGTCAAGACCCATGCAGAAGGCAGTGTATCCACCTAATTGCACTTCTAGACAAGTGGTAAGAAACAGTGAGTGCACTTGTTCCGACCGTTTCATAACACTTCATGGTACACTCACATTTACATCAAACCGTCAGAATGTCTGAATCAACGGAGACAGAGAGATAATAGAAATTCCCTTCTATGAATCCAATAGGATACTTAAGGGTCGGGTACGAAGCTTTCAACTCTCCCGTGCTGTACTCTAAGTCTTATCCAGCTTATCCAGCACTTCATGGATATCCACAATCCCATAATGCTAATACAGATGACTTATTGTTCCGCTTCGTGCTTGTGTCTTCAAATACTTCTGAAAGGAGTGGTTCTATGTAGGTGTACGACCATTCAACAATCTTTTTGCTTTCTTTTGGTTTCACATGAACTATCGTTCACTTGATCAGGTTCCGGGCAGGGCATAACTTCAAAGTACTTAAACGGAACAGCATTACGTTTCAAGCAAACCTAGCTTATGAAGGAAGACTTTAGAATGAGAGCATTGTTAGGCAATCACCCGGACGTACAAACACGGTCGCACAAAACCATCATGTCTTTCATGTCCATTTCCGCTTCATGCCGTAACGTTATCAGGTTCAAATAGCTCAAAATCAATAGAGAGAAAACCGGACACAATGTGGAGCTTCGCTGATTCAAATGTTACAATGTTCATTTATTGACAAGAGCATATGACTTGAGAACTGAAACACGCTCCTGTTCACTATGAGCATGGTCTATCTAATTTTCCGAAATTCAGCACACAACGTGTATGGGATCGATAAAAATGCACTGAACCCATGGAAGCTCACGCACGCACGCACACACGCACACACACACACAAAAGCACATGCAAGTATACGAACGTACACGGATCAAATATGGATACTATGCAAACTATTCGATCGTACGGGCGTACCGTTTCTGTCCCATGTAGACCAACCATGGGATATTTGGTTTTTCCCACCAATGACAATAAGTGTCCGTGTTTGTGCCCTTCCGTATCAGAGAACGTTCCCATGGTGTTCTTTTAGCGCGTGACATTGGGTGAGAATGAGTTAACCAGCGACTGTCATTCTCCATTCTATCTTACTCATTACATCTCAATCTTGCTCATCTAGCATCACCAGCTCAACACAATTGTTTTGGTCAACTTAATGAGCGGTGCTGAAAATCGCCGTCAATCAAACGTATCTTCGTCCGGCTCGTCCGGAGGGAACCCAGTTCGCCGGGGCTATTCCCGTACATCGTCTGCTGATTCCATATTTGAGGATGCATCCATTAAAGCCAATCACTTGTTCGCACGCTTAGATGAAGAACGCAAAGGTTACCTGGATGTGAGCATGCTAGCTAAAGCGTGTGAATCGCGTCTCAACGAGTCCCAATTGTCCGAATTGATCAAACAGATGGATCACGACGGTGACGGTCGAGTAAATGTGGACGATTTTCGTCGATGCCTGAAAAGCATCGCTCGTCGGAATAGTGTGATTCGTGCTTCGCTTCGAGCTACTACAACCGCGGCACGTCCGCCAGTCACTGCACAAAACAGTAATTCGAGCACATCCTCGGACTCTAATCGTAGCCGACTAAATTCAGATGATGCCACTAGCTCGGAAGTGGAGGAACGAGGCACGTTATCCAAAGCTATTCGTCGTACCTCTGGGGTGTTTAAACCGATTCGATCGCGAGAACGAAACAAAGATCGTTTGATCAGCAGGCTAACTTCAAATGTATCACAATGTCGACACTCCTCTGGTGGGCTTCGACAGCTTAGTACTTCAGTGCCCGAATTAAACAGCGTGGACGACTGCCTTGGAGCTTTGCAATGGTAAGTTGTCTCAGAACGTCCGATTAATTGTGCGTCAGCGCCAAACCAATAAGGACTCTTTATCGATTTCATATTTTCTGAAGTCCGAGAGTATCCATTTGAGTCGCATATGTCGAAGTACTGAAAATATGAATGACATCCATAGAAAGGCTATTCATTCGTACTAACTAGTGGCTTATGAAACTCATAAAGGACAACTCGGGTTAAAAATGATTTTGCCATGTGTGAATATTAAAATGTTTCACAACACGCTATTGGCTGGGTGAGTTATTATTGCGCCACCTAGCTTTCTCTCCCAGTGGAATACCAAATAGTGCCCACACTTTGTGACTGAAAACTCCTACTTGAAATTGTGTTGGTCAGATGGAAATTTGATGTAACCGGTATGTTTTGCCCAATACTCATAACGGACTATCACCAAAGCATTTTATACCCAACGTGCATGGTTTGTTGAAACGGGCAGCTTAACTTCAGAGGCTCTGAAATGTTCAGTTCGATCAGCTCAGTCTTAATTATTCTGTATTGCGACAAAACACAGAACAATGGCATGCATCTCGAAGATTCCATAAATTTCAATCTTTAATAACTACGCTCCCAGAATTTTTACAATCAAAACGCTCTTCTTCTGCTTTTCTCCCTCTATGGATCACATTGTAGCTGCACCCAGTACTGATTACTTTCTCATTCTCAGCACACTCTTACTAGATCTTAGGCTGCATTGTTGGTGATGGAGCATGTGGTGCAAACTGTTCTGAGCAATGTATATTCGGTTAGATTAGTACTCCGGGCAATCCCACTTAACTTCTAGACCAATGAAAATTCTTTCACAGTTGGGAAATTCTATGATAAATGCCATTGCATAATAATGAAGAGCACCGTGCAGTTAATGCATGTGACGAAACGAGAACCATTGTGATTAATGTACCTTCCGGGAGTTGGTTTAGTATGATACAAGTATTAACATAAGACCGCACACATTTTTCATTTCAAGTATTTGTGGTTAGCTGTTTGAATATGTGGTGTGTTTTATATGCTGAATAGCAATTCATCAAACTTGATTCTCACGCAGTGCTCAGTCGGTGCTGTACACTTGAGAGACACCACATTTCGCTGTCTCTCTCTCTCATCCTCTGGGTCTAACAGGAACTCGTCCGTACTATGGAACGACCTATTCATCCAAGATTTGAACTTCGGAAATTTAGCGTGAAAAGTATTTTTGTGTTTTCCCAACACACTGAAATATAATTAATTCAGCGCTCCCCTCTATACCTGTTCAACTTCAAGTGAATCCACCGTAACTTCAAGTGAACCCAATCAATCGGTAACTCCCAAACAGCTCTCACCTTTGGCTCGGAAACATTGTCCCACCCACCCACCCACCCCCTCCTCTCAAGAGCGAACACCGAGCGAACACAATCTGAAAGTCTTGTCCAGACAAAATGACAGAAAGGGCCACGTATTTCCGTTGTAAGGACAGCTCGTAAGCTCGCCTTTTATGATAAATATCAAATTTTACACTTAGGTAAGCATAAGGGGGTATTTTGAGCCATTCGGTTGTTTCACGGGCGATCAATGAAACCATTAACTACCAAGTGTTTGTGAGTTTTCAGCAGTAGTTTCTGACAGCTATTCACACCGTCATTCACGGCTAGTGCAAACGCATTTTATCGGTCATTCTCATAGGTGGTAAGACTGCTCGATCGATGCATCATGCAAACTGTCGCGTATGCTCAAACTCACAGGTGCCCGTAGACCGTATCGCGATGGTTGATGAGATACATATTCGAGAAACTCGGTGACATGGTCCACGTATATGATTCGTACATTAATGGAAATTTTGTGAACAAGAATGCGTCCACAATTCACTGTAGGAAGAACGCACCTCATCACACAGTTAACAAAGAATTTTTCAAACCATACAGAGGCAACAGTAACTAAGTAAGTAACTAAAACGAACTAGGAGTGACAGAGTGTGTAAAAGGCTTTTGTGATGACCACACTCCAAGGTGCACACCGATAGCAAAAAAGAAATACTTCCAATAGGTGAGTGGGACTTAGACACAAAAAGGGAAATATATGGAAGGAATCACCAGTAAAGTGGAGACAGTAGTAACAGAACCACGCACACAATGTTTCTTTCTGATAAAATTACTTTCTATTGAAGGCTTTTCCTATATTCTATTCCAAACCCAAAACAAATTGACCAATAATCTTGTAAGAACTATTCAATGGGTGGGAGGGGAGAATGATTACCAATAACGCGTCTTCTTCGGTTAACCAGAGGTTGTATTATTTCCTAAAAGTCTCTTCCAAAACAAAACAATCAGCGGAGCGCAGGCCTTTTAATCGGTTCTGATAATCTCCATGGGCCATGGCGTCAATATCTTTCTCAGAACGTTTAGCATAAAAACTGTAATAGAGGAATAAGTACAAGACCCCAATTTTATGCAGCCATTGTGCTTCTTTTAATGTCGATTGTTTTGCTATAATTTGTTTTATTTTCTGTGATGCGCGGGTGGTTTGTTGCCTTGATTACATAATATTGACAATAAAGCTTATCCTACTTCGTTCGTATGCGTTACCTTTGGCTTTGTTGTTTTTCCCCCTTTTTCGGTATTGAATTTAATGGAAAAACAACTAGTTGCATTTCCATGGAGCATATCATTCTATCCCTTTTTGAATTCACATCCATAACTTGTGAACGGTAATAAACTTTGTCGCACACATTTCTCAACGCCCGCTTCCCCCTCCCCCCGTCTGCCGTCCATCCACAGTCAAGAACACATTTACGAACTGTACCACCTGTTACTGTCGGAGAACCCAAGTCTGTCGCGTATGTATGAGTCCGTTCTGGGGGATATTGTGGATTTCATTCAGAAAAGCAAGCTCGCACAGGCTCGTATTGAGCAGCAAATTGAAAGGTGAGCAATCTGACCATTGGTTTTCACCA